AAAAATTTGTAACATTTATCAAAAAAGTGATAAACATACCCCCAACACGTTGAAATATTAACCAAAAACTGGTGACCTTACCCCAAATAGTGGTAACCTTATCCCCAAAAAGAGGAAACATGTTTACAATAATTGTAATATTGGCCAAAAAAAAGTGGTAATCTTACCCTAAAAATTTGATAAACTTACCCCCAAAATGTGTTGGCCTTTATCCAAATAGTGTTAACCTATTTATAAAACATTGTAATATTAACCAAAATGTGGTAACCTTACCCCAAATCTGGTAACCATACAAAAAAATTGGTAAACTTACCCCAAATAGTGACAATCTTACCCCAAGAGGAAACCTGTTTACAATAATTGTAATATTAACGAAAAAAGTGGTGACCTTACCCTCAAAATCTGGTAAACTTACTCTCAATTTGTGGTATCCTTTTCCATAATAGTTCTAATATCTTTACAAAAAGTTGTAATATGAACCAAAAGATGGTAACCTTACCCACAAAATCTGGTAATTATACCCTGAAAAGTGGTAAACTTACCCCAAATAGTGGTAACTGTACCCCAAAAAGAGGAAACATATTTAAAATAATTGTGATATAACTAAAAAAGTGGTAAAATTTATCCCCAAAATCAGCTAAACTTACCCACAATTTGTAGTATCCTTTTTCCAAACTAGAGATAAATTTTTTACAAAAAGTTGTAATATTAACCAAAAGGTGTAAACTTACTCCCAAAAGTTTGTAACCGTACCTCAAAAAGTGATACCCTTACCCCTAAAAATTGTAATCTTATCAAAACATTACCACCAAAAAGTGGTAACCTTACCCCCAAGAGAGGTAACTATACCCCCAAAAGTGAACAATACACCAAAAAATTGTAATATTAACCAAAAACATGTTAAACTTAGCCCCAAAATATGGTAACCTTACCCCTAAAAAATGGTAACCTCAGTCCCAAAAGTGGTAATGTTACAAGAATATTGGTATCCTTACCAAAAAAAAAAAGTTGTAAGCTCACCGATAAAGTGGTAAACTTACCCCTAAGAAGTGGTAACCTTACTTACAAAAAGTGGTAATGGTTACTTAAAAAAATAATAATAAAATAATATTCGATCTCATCAAATAAGTATACAAATTGAGATTTAATTTTATCAAATTATAATTCAATTACATTCATTTAATATTTAATTTCACCAAAGTACTAATATTTATTTAATTTAACACAAAATTGCTATTTAATTTAGTCAAATCAAGACTAATTTTAGATTCTTTTATATCCAATTAAATTTTATTAAATAGAATACTAAATTCTATTCATTTAACATTTAACCTTATTAAAGTCCATTAATTTAAAAAAATCCTTAATAAATTAAAAATTTATGTATGACATAATTTTAAAATTATGGTGTTATGAACATAACAATATGATGATAATGATACACTGCACATCTTTGAACATCAACCAATATTTGTAACCTACCCAAAAGGTTCTAATCTTAACATAAAAGTTGTAAAAAAAATATGTTTTGAAGTAGGTAATATAATTGTTGTGTAATAAATGACATTTAACTGTGAAATAAATGTACTTTATGTGTTCCAGCTACTAATTATGATTTTCTCAACCTTGGACAAACTGAAATCAAACATTACAACCTCCGTTATTTCATCAAATTCACTCTTACAACCCCCATTCTTTCATCACCCATCGAACTCCAATCCAACATATTTACTGATCATTTTCTTGATCATCCAGGCAATTAAGTGGAATGCACGGTATTAAAAGATTCCTATCAAACAAGGTAAGTATTAGAGTAGATATTTGTTATTAATTGGGTTATTTCCACAAGTATTATCTTCTTATTTTGATAGGTAGAAATAGTAGTCATTACCGAAAGATGATTGTTAATTATTTGTGCAATAGTCATTATCAAAAGATCGATGTTAATTATTTGTGCTTAGGTACAATCGACACAAATGGAGAAATGAAAGCAGGCCCTTGTAGACTTAAATAGTAATATAACATATGACATATTGCATGATTTTTAAAATGATGAATATCATAACATGGACTTGCATCACAAAATCAAGGATGGGTTAACATCTAATGAAGCCATTGCAATGAGGGAAGAGTTAACATCCACAGTAGTCCTTGCAATGACATTTATATCACTTGAAGATGTTGGACAATTTTATAACACATATGCTAGATATGCGGGTTTCAGTGTTTGTAAGGATGACCTAAAACATGACAAGAACAACATTCCAATTTCAAGACGGTGGGTTTGTTCGAGAGAAAGGTATCTGTCCACAAAATATGTGGAACGCCTAGAACAATCAAGGGAACCAGGAGGGTTAATACGGCTTGGATGCAATGAAACATTCCGAGTGAAGTTTGATAGGAAGATACAAAATGGATTGTAAAAGAGATTGTTATAGAGCACAACCATGAATTGGTTCCACAACGTGGTGTGTCATTTCTCTAATCACACAACCGTGTCAAGAGCCCTGACAGCTATATCATTGCATAATATTGGTATGTGTACAAGTCATATTGGAGATTTCATGGTGCAACAATCTGGAGGATATCAAAATGTTGGATTTACTACAAAGGATTTCTATTATGACATGGCATCCTACCATAGAGAAGAGTTGAGAGATGGTGATGCAGAGGGTGCATTAGCCTACTTGAGTGCGAAGGAAAAGTTGGACCCACAATTTTACTTCAAGTATTCTATCACTGAAGACTATTCGTTGAATTGCTTGTTTTGGGCTGATTCGACACCTCGACTAGACTATAAGTGTTTTGGTGAGGTGATGACGTTCGATACTACACATCAAAAGAATGCATATAAGAAGCCTTTTGTTATATTTGTTGGTGTCAACCACCACAACGCTACAACTATATTTGGGTATGCATTAATTTTAGACAAGACGATTGATACATGGGTGTAGGTATTGAATATTTTTCTTCATGTAATGGAAACAAGATGCATGTATCTGTTATTACAGATGGAGATAAAGCAATGGCAGATACAATTGAAAGAGTATTACCTCAAACAACGCATCTCTTGTTCAGGTGGCACTTGTCAAGAAATGTTTTCACAAATATAAATGATGAAAACTTTGTCAATGCATTCAAGAGGTGCATGTGTGCTCAATGTACTCTAGAAGAATTTGAAAATGAGTGAAAATCAATGGTCGAATCATTTGGACTGGAGACAAACAATTGGATAGAGAAAGTTTATGAAAAGCGATTCAAATGGGCCGAATCGTACTTGTGAGGAAAATTTTTTGTTGAATTAAAAAGCGCGCAACAATTAGAGAGTATGAATGCCTACTTCAAACGCTTTCTAAAAATAAGTCAACAATTGTTCGAGTTTGTTAGGCACTATGATAGAGGCTTGGCAAAGATCAGGGACGTAAGGCCAATGACGACTTTGAGTTAGAATATTCTAGGCCAGTGATGCTGACAACACTAAGATACATAGAGGAACAGACTGCTGCATTATATACCAGAAAAATTTCTTCAAGGTCTGTGATAAGATACAAGATGAAGTTATATTTTTTGTAGCAGATAAAATCAAGAATGGAAGTCATCGGAGTTATTATTTTTCTTGATTCATAAAACCGGAATCAAGGTGGGTTGTGCAATATTATCATCAAATTCATATGTTTAAATGCAATTGCATGAAATTTGAGTTTTTTGGGATTCTATGCTCTCACATGATCATAGTCATGAAGTATGAGCACATACAAGAGTTTCCTCATACCAGTGTAATGAATAAGTGGACCATTAAAGCAAATCCGGATATCAATGTGCACCTAAATGTGTTAATGTGCATTCGAATGTGTCAATTCCTACGCATTATGTTGTACTTATGTTAATGTGCAGCCAAATGTGTTATTACACTTCACAGTCGCTCTCAGACTCAAATGACCTGAGGAGTATGGTGCAACCAAGAATTTCTCTTCTAAAAAGCCGTCACGAGTCACTTGGTAAACACAATGTAGGTGTGAAAAATAAACAATTTAGAGTGAATGATCCAAAGATCGTGACAACCAAGGGAAATCTAGGTCGTGCAGGTAATAATATTTTGATCAACCCACGAAGATGTAGTAAATGTAGGGACACTGGACATACTGTTAGAAAATGTCCACTCTTGATGTCTTGATCCAATCATCCATTTGAGGACATGCATTTTTCACACCCAGTTGGATCACAACCACCATGGGACATGTCTTTTTCATAGGTTAGTGGGTTGCAACAACCACCCGACATGCTTTTTTCACAGCATGGTGGATTGCAACAATCTATGCCAACATGTGAAAAGGATGGTTGTTGGACTCTTTTTGTCAATGAGGGTATCCTCAACTATCAGGTTCATATAATACTCTTTAGATCTTTATATTTTTTTTTTCTATGAACTCATTCCTTAATTCCTTGTTATTTTAGGATGGAATGTCAAGCTTTGATTCTACCATTCACTCACAATACATCAACACTAGTTTTAAGAATATGGTGGTAATTACAAAAATTATAAATTTAGTCTTAAAAAAAAAATTCCACCATTTTCATCTAATCATCAATTTATACTATCACAATAGGCACCAAGATCGTGGAGCAAGATGGGTTGATGAAATTCTCCTTTTTCGCAACTTTAAATGAAAATATTTTACATTTCCTATTCCAAGCTTTTTTTTTTCCCCTGTATGCCTAGCTTGACCTTTATTGGAAGCAAAAAAAAAAAAAATCAAATACCAGAATATGCTCATCACAACCATTACCAAACTCATTTATAGATAAAGAACAAAGATACTATAGATTTTTTACAAAAACATATGATATTGCATTAATTTGTTTCACCACATTTCACTAGTGCTGGGTCAACTATTGTATAAACAACCAACACTACAATTCCGTATAATTGTCATTTCCTAGCTATTTCTTTGTTTTTTCATAAAATAAGACTCAATTTTATTCATCCTAGTATCAATTACCTTGATAGACTCCTTCATATCATCTTGAGTCTTTTGAAATTGCTCCATCTTTTCGAGCATTTGTATAAACATTTGTCCAACCATAATCAATGGAGGAATAGTACCCGAGGAAGAACTTGGGTCATTCTCAGCTTCAACTTCATCCTCGGTTTCAACTTGTGGTTGTTGGGTTTTCTTCTTTTTACCCTGCCCCAAACTTTCTTTTATTGTCTCACCAAAAATTGGATTCATAGGAGAGGAATAAGTGTCGCTTGACTGAATCACAATTGGCGAAGAAAATATTGTTGATCGAGATACCCCCATATTTGAAGGGTGAATTTGATTATGCCATGAAAAATGGCTTCTCTGGATTGAAGACCTGGTGGACCTTTAAGTCTTCAAGTATTGAAGATACTTTTAAAAAGTTCTTTTATGTTGACATAGACCCTTTGATGAAACAAATGGATTGTCTTCCCATGAAAGTAGATGAGTACCTTTCAAAATGCCAAGAAAGCGTAAAAAATTTAACCACTAAAGAAAGAGATAGAAAGTTGGCGACAATTGATAACACGATATCAACAGGACAATTCAAGATTCTTGACTTAACTGAACAATTGTTGAAATTTGAGATAAAGTTATTGAGCCTTGATGACGAGATCCGATGATTGTATGATCAGAGAGCCAAGGTTGCATCTAGTATTGACTTTATTTGTGATGTACGAAAAAATGTTGAAGAGCCTATTAGGCTGATGGAGAAAGAGCTGTTGAACTCCAGGAGTCTCATATTCACAATGTTGAGGAGATACAAGATGCAGACAAGATGCGATCCATGTTAAAGAAGGAATTTGCTTCACTAGTCTCGATTGACTGAGTTAAGAAATTTTTATGATCTCACAACTCTTCAATTGTAATTCTTTATTTATTTTTGGGTTAATTGCACTATAAGTCCCCAAAGTATGAGTTTCGTCATATATTGGTCCCCAATGCTTCAATTGTATCATTTTAGTCCCTAAAGTATTGAATATGTTTTCATATGGTCCTTCAAGCAGAAAACATCCAGATTGCTAATGATTTTTTTTTATCATAAATTTGTCACGTAATACCTAAATATGGACAAAAAATTATTTTAATAGCTCTTAAACAAAAGTTGAGTAACTCTAAACAAAATTATATGTAATATGGGTAGTTTTTGACTAAACTTTGAAAAGATCATGATCAAAACTATGTAATTTAGGTAGCTATTTAACCAAAATTTGAGTACAACTTTGGTCAAAAGTTATCCAAATTATTTTTTTGTCCATATTTAAGTTTTACATGATAAGTTTATGATAAAAAAATCGTTACAAATTTGGACACTGTCAACTTGAGGGACCATATAGAAACATATTCAATAATTCATGGACTAAAATGATGCAATTGGAACATTGGGCACCAAAATGAGACAAACTCCATACTTTGGGGACCTCCAAGCAATTAACCCTTTATTTTGTTTCTCATCCCCTTTTTTTAGCAAATATGGATGTTTAGATTTGAATTTTTTTTTTTTTTAATATTTTGAAAGAGGTTTACATTTAAACATAAATTTTAAGAGCTTTTTTTTTTTGTTGAGTCGTTCACATTTTTAGCTCGTGCGGGCTAGGAGCAAAAATTTTGTTTTTTTGGTTAAGTTATACACAGTTTTAACTCATGCGAGCCAAGAGTAAAAAAAAATTTTTTTTTGCAAGCGGTACACATTTTTAATCATGCAGACCATGAGTAAAAGAAATGGTTTTTTTTAAGTCGTACACAATTTTAACTCATGCGGGCTAGTAGTAAAAAAAATTCTAAAAAAGTCGTATACGGTTTTAACTCATGCAGGCCAGAAGTAAAAAAAATAATTTTTTTTAGCCGTATACAGTTTTAACTCAAGTAGACCAGGAATAACATGCAATTTAGGCTCGTGCATCAAGAACCTCTGCTTGCTTTTAGGCATAGAAGAGTTTCAGAAATTTCTCATTGAGTGGGTCAATCCTCAAGCCATCTTTGTCAATAATCTTGTATGCACCGTTTGATGCATAGTTAAAAGTTACATCTTACTATGCCTTTATAATATTAACTATTCTTTGATGGTGTTTAAATAATAACATTTTAGGATAAATAAAGTACAAGGGCTTAAAGGCAACATCATCACTCTTTCAAGCAGTACATTTGTGTTTTTAAAGAGAATTCAAGAAAGAGAAAAAAAAAAAAAAAAAGCTTCTATATTCGAATGCCATATTGAACTCATTCAAGATCTTCAGGAGGCTGTTAGGGAGATGACACGAGGCTTGTTACTTGACAAAGCTGCATTATCAACCACGTTTGAACTCCTTTAACGTTCGAAAGGACTTCAAAGAAGAAATGCTTTTACGTTCGAATGTTAAGTAAAATTCGAACGTAAATCCCATACAGAATGCAAGCAGATTAGATTTCCACCCGGAGTTTATGGCATAGAACTTTAAGCACCTAGGTCTGTTTTTTACCTCCCTCCCTTGTCTATAAATACCATCCCTTAGAACTTGTTGAAGATCATCTTTTGGAAGTGGAAAACCTTCCAAAAGTAACTAATTTTCTTCTACTTTCATCATTAGTTTCATTAGCTTCGTTTGTAAAGCTTCTTTCTTCACTGAGAGGATTGAACCTCTCTCACTTTTCTAGCTCTATTGTAGCTTTGAAGGGTGAGTAGTGTTTCATTCATTCTTTGTTGGAGATAGGCTTATTGTTTTGGTAAACGTTAACTTATAATTAAAAGTTCTTCTACTTGAAGGGATAAAAATCACTCACTTTTCTAGCTTTCTCAAAGCCCTGAAGAGTAAGTAGTTTCTCATTCACTCTTTTGTGAGAAATGATGGACATGTATATTATTGTTCAAAAGTTATATTTGTGCATTTTTTATCTGCATTTTGTTATGCTTAATGATTTATCTTTCTATTGCTTATTGAATGATTGAATGCATCTAACAAAGCTAAAGCACTTTGTACAACCATGAATGTCTTATAGACAAGTTAACTCCACCTAAACCTGCACCAGCCCCATCATGCGCCGCAGCACCATGGTCAGTCTGCTGTAGTGGTAACACGCGCTATGGAACATAACAGACGCTCCCATGCCCACAATTAAATACACAATACATTGATTTTGCATATGTATACTTTACAAGAACATAAAAGTAAGCAACCAAGTGAAGAATGCAAGCAATTACCTGAAGCAAAATAAATGGATCTCTAATATCCTTCGTGTCCCGCTTAGTAGTGAGACACATCTCCAAATAAAATCATGAAAGGGCCGCACTGTCCCAACTAAAAGTGCCAACCGCATGTAAGCCTCCAAGCAATGGCAGGAACATAAGCTTCACCCTACTCGACGACTTGTTGCCAAACAAAAAAACCCCTAATAAAAAAAAGATGTATGATCGGGGTAACATGCTATAAAATGCTCTGGCACATCAACTAGAATCCCATGGGCCAAATGCTCGGCCAGTGCACTAAGTCGTAGAGTGGACTTATCTATCGCTTTATCTGCTAGTGTGAACCCAAGCAACTCAGTGCACATGACACTCTACTGTTGTACATCTCGGACGGTGTCTACACCACATACGAGCATCCCATCAACCGGAAGGCCAAGTAATACAGCTGCATCCTAAAGTGTGATGGTGGCCTCATCAACTGGCAGATGAAATGTGTGTGTCTTAATGCGTCATCGCTCTATAAGTGCAGTAATAAGATGGTGGCCTCACCAATTGGTAGATGAAATGTGTGTCTCGACCCTTTGATTTCAACCACAACTCAGTAGGAATCATAGTCCACCAAAAATAAACAAGTTCAAGAACCCAGTCTTCTTCCACATAAAAAGGCTATCTTATCCCAACAAAGAGAGACACATCATAAAAAACTTGCCAGAAACATCAAAAGCAAAGTTGCAGTTATGAATCCAAGGACTGGAGCTATGCTCAGTCGTTGGTGGAGTTGTGTTCAATCATTCATGTGCTGGATCGATTTAGGGAAAAATTGATTTAGTCTAGAATGGAGAATGAAGAATGGACTCATTGGTGGAGGATGTGCTCACTACTCAACTGCTAGTGGAGGTTGTGCTCATTGCTTAGTCGCTAACTCGCTGAATGAACAAAGGCAAATGCTTAGATTTCACAAGGCTCCGATGGTCCTCTGATGGTCTTCCTCGTCAGAGATAATAGTCTTTGAATGGTTGGAGCTCATCAGAGAAGCGGCTGGCTGAGAGTGGTTGGAGGAGGAGGAGAGCTTTAGAGTTGTTGGAGGAGGAGGAGAGTTGAGAGTGGTTGAAATGTTTGAAAATTTTTAACCTAGTATGTGATTTGGGAAATTTCAAGTGACCTGATTTAATGTTAAAATCGTCATTTGGAATGACGTCTTTAAAGGGTCATTCAATTGACGTTTTCTCAAGTTTCCCATCCCATCTAACGTCGTTAACAATGTTAGTAAAAATAGTAAGCCAAAAATGTCATTCTTTAGAATAACGTTTTTATATGCATCAAGACATTTTATAACTTAGTTTTCATAATCCTATTAAGGTTAAAATTGTCATTTCAACTAACGTTTTTAACAGAGAATGTGTCATTTCAAATGACGTTTTTAAAAAAAGACTGGGATTGAAAAATAAGTATAAAACAGACTGGGTTGGGGAAAAAGATTTCAGGGGGGCTGGGTTTGGGGAAAACCTCTTTAAAAGTGCCCATAAGAAAAGCTTTCTCCAATGGGCCTTCTTTCTTTTGTCGTAAAAATAGATATGGTCCAAATTTCACTCAAATAAAAGGGATGATCTTCCTCTTTCTCAGCATCATTTTTTTAGGATTCTTTGTCCATGTATATGCCAAATAGTGTGCTCTCATTATTTGAAATTGAGAATCTCAATGGTGGTATTATGACTCCTCATCCTCGAGAAAGCCTACCCACAAAGAAAAGAAAATCAAAGCTAGTTAGGTTCCATTAAGCCTCTATATCTAGGCGATAACCACAACTTAGCTATAGCATTGGAAACTATAGAGCTCAAAAGCAATCCAAAGTAAGTATTGAGTACATTGCTAGGTATACATCTTTCGCACGAAGAACATAGTAGATGAAATTCTAATTGTGAAAAGATATAATGTGAATTTATATATTAAAAAGGTGTATATAGCATGGGGTGAACTTGATTACTAATAGAATGACTGTAAAAAAAAGTGAATTTAATAGTTTAATAAGAAATATTTTAATGGAATGAGAATGAATATTCATGACATAGGAATAGCCCACCCTTAATTTTTAATGTCTTACACCACAGTTTCTTGCTCA